ATCTCGTGTGTTAACATTTCAAGCTATCACTTCATCATGTCTCCAAAATACAAGGAATAGGATTCAACAGGTGCGTTTGGAACTCGTTCTAAAATGATTCTACTTTTTGTATGAAAATAGAAATGAAAACGTTTTCAATCTCAGACAGAACTCATTTTTAAAAATGTATTTGGTAGTTTTATCAAGAAATTGTTTTCAGTATAAAAAATCCATTAATGTCTCTCTCTCTCTACTCGAGAGAGGAGAAAACGGAAACAAAAAATGAAAAACGACTAAAAGTCATTTTTCATTTTTCTCCCATTTTACACTAAATTAAAAAATTGTTTTCATTTCTGTTTTTTGTCTTTAAATGTGTCAAACGTCATTTTTCTCCCGTTTTCATTTTTCTTTCTCAAAAAACATGAAAAACAAAAACAAAAACAACTCCAAACATAGCCAACATCTCAGAATCTGTACTGAGTAAATCAAAAGACACAAATCTATAAATAAAAGTCTGCTAATAACTTAGGATTAAGATCCTTCTATATATGGCTATCGATATACTCAATTAGAATTTCTATACTTAACTAATTATCTGAAAATTCATATTGTGTCTATGTCCTGATTTCACATAATCTCATTATGTGTAATACACTCATTCAATATATCGTCATATTAATAGTACGGATAACACCGTTCCTTTCTTAATGACAATGACATGTATTAGTAATGTTTTAATTAAAGATTCCAAACTTTAATTAAAATCATTACGAACATCATTTTGAGTTTTATCCTTAAATATTATCCTCTCACGTATAACACTTATATACAATATTTAAGGCCACATAAATAATCAAGAAATTTTCAATGATATTCATAAAATAGTCAATATTATATGCACATAAAATAATGAATAAACTCTTTTATAAAATAAATAATAAATATCATATTACATCTTATGCTTTTGAGACACAATTCCCAACGGTCACACCACAAAATTTTAATGCCATTATAAAAAATAATATGTAGGTTACGAAAAATAACCTGCAAGTTATGAAAAGATAACTTACAGGTTATTAGTGGTATGAGATAAATTTACAACAATGACATAAATAAAATAGTGTTATTTTAATGATGTAATTTTTTATTTTCTCTTAATAAAAAAGGTTTGGAGAATCTATGGGCTAATTGCTTGCATCTTTGAAATCGAACCCAACTGAGTAAAAGGCTTTCAATTGGGCTTATAATGAAGGCCCACCTCGAGCTAAGTTATCGAAAAAGGTGCTTGTAGGCCCACAACAAATCAACAACATTTTGGAGAGATATTGAAGAAAAATGCTTAGAGGCACTATCGATACTCAGCACCACTGATGAGGAGGTTATTTACGGACAAATTAAGTATTTTTAAGTTCAAATATTTGTGAGTCTTCAAGCTTTTTTGTTAGTTTAATATGTTTTTGTTGTTATTTGGTAGGAAAAATAATAAAATGGGACTCAGTGGCATTTTGGAGTAAAAATTAGAGCAAAAGGCACTCATGGCCGCATAAGGGCCCTCTTAGGCAGAACCACCTGCACGGGCGCGTCACCGAGGCACGCGACTACGCCCCCTGCGTGTTGTAGACAAACTTTGGGCCATTTTTCAGCCCTTGACCAATATAGATGGCCAATTTTGAACCTTTGGATGAGTTTGGCTGAGATTTTCTCCATGTTTGAGTATATTTAAGCAAAAGAAACCCTAGTTCCCAACTTGAAAGGATGAGAGGCACAAAAATTCCTAGAAAGAGAAGCTTGGAGTTGGAGATTCTTAAAGAATGTTTAGGAGAGATTATTGATGATTTGAAGACTTGAAGTTCATCTCCACAAGAGTTTTCTCTTCATTCTCCTTTTTCTTTATAGTTTTTTAGTTTTTGTTCTTGAATTTGTTATTTTGGTTATGGATTCCTCTATGTTGAGCTAGATGTCATATTCTAGGGCTTGATGTAGCTTTATTTGAACCGTGTTTTCATTATCTTGTCAATTGTTAGTTAAATTTCATTTTAATTTATTTATGTTTCTCCATGCTTAATGTTTCTAATTTATGTGGCCAATGAGTTAGATAATTTAGATTGTGATTTTGACGCTTGGGAGAGATTGATTTCATAGTCCTGAGTTGGGAAACATAGTCTAGGTTGTTGTGAGTCCAGGAGGAGATCAACACTTAGAAAATCTCGTTGAGAGTCTAGAATATTATGAGATCGGGAGGTGATGAAGATCTTGATTATCAACTAGGATTTCGATTGTTGTGAAGAGTGAATGAGTAAACGAGTTAGATAGGAATATTGATTCAGGTATTCATGCATATGACTTCGTTTGACACTTGGGAGAGGTAGCGATTTTAGATTAGGTCCCTTGATTAATGAATTGAGTGGAATTGGCTAGTATTGGCTTAATAGAATGAACATAGGAATGATAAGCTGAAGTCAAGTCCCTAGTACATATGTGCATAAAAGTTCACATATTTTATTTTGTTTTGTACTTATATTTGTTCTAGTTTTTTCATTTATTTTATTGTTTGATTGCCTAGATAAAGTTGAGTTACGATAATAACGGTACTTAGCGGTAATTAAATACCCAATCTCTGTGGAAACGATACTCACTCACCATATATTATTAAAACTTGATACCGTACACTTGCAGGCGAACAACCACCATGCTACAGGAGCCACATTCTATTAGTGAGTGGTGTTAAATACTATTGGTGCCTAATAATATTGCTCAATATTGTAATGGGGAACTAGAAAGCAAGATGAGAGTGCCAAAGTGGAGAATAATTAAAGAGGAGTGTAAGACTAATAAAAATAAATAAATAAACAACAGAGTAAACAAGTAATTATTTTTGTGTAAATTAATTGTATATTCGTTTTAGGGAAAATTGATTATATATATGTTGGAACAAAGGAACACTAAAATAATATTTTATATTTGATGTAACTATTATCATAAATGATTTATATTGTTATGCGATTAATGATGTGATTATTTATGTAAAATTTCACAAGTCACTCGTTAATTTCAATCTTAAAGACTATAAATGCTAAAAAACTCAAAGTTTAAAAAAGCAATATACTAAGAAAAATTCAGTAAACGAAAAGTGTCACAATAGTTATAGTAAGAAGAATAATGGTGCTAATTATTCTATAAACTATCATTATAATGGCTGATAATAAGAGTAATTACCATTACTTCTGTGATTTTTGTTATTCTTACAATACATTGACATTTTCCCCTACTTTTCAACTTGAATTATAGCATAATCCAAATATCATCCATACTCGGTAGTAACTATAATTACTATTTTTTATTTTTTACGGTATGTAACATTACAAAAATCTCTCTGGTAATTTATTAGTCAGAAAATTATGAGAGTAGTAGGACTCCTCAAAAAATAGGAAAATTGGGTTGGGTGGCTTTTTTTAACTACCTTTTTTTATAAATGGCTGAACTTTTTTTATTTTACAAAAATGGTCGCTATGTTTACATGAGTCAATCGGTGATTGACCGATGGACCACAGTCTATCAATGATTGATCCGCGGTTAATCAGTGATTGCCGATTCACTATTAATTTGTTAATGGTTTATCATTAATAAACATGTAATTTGTTGATTAAAATTGATAAATTAAAACTTAATTTTAGTTAATTATTAACTAATGTTGATTAATAATAAAGAATAATCGAGTCAATCAGTGATTTACTGCTGAGTCTATCAGTGATTGACCATTGAGTCTATCAGTAATTGACCACTAAATTAATTAAAAACGATCATTTTTACAATTTTATAAAACTCCAATCATTTATGAAAAAAACATTCTTAAAAAAAAGGTTATTTATGCCGAAATCTCAAAAAATTATTTGACCTTAATTTACTCTATTACTATGAATTTCAATCCCAATAAAAAGTAAAAAAGCGATTATTATTTTTCTAAGTGAAGCTCTTCATCCTAATTCTCTCCACTATCTTCCAAGTTCTCAAGTCCAAAATATTTTTTTTTCCTTAAAAAAAAGTCCAAGTTATTAAATCATTAACCCTAAGAAAAATGTAATATAGATCCGTTTTAAAGATATACCCAAAAGTATAATTCTTTTTTTGAAAAAGAAAACATTGTTATAAAATTAATGATTTAAGTTTAATGATGTATTCATTTGCACCACTTAAGTCATGACTCAAGTTATATTACTATAATATTTTCTCTCACATAAATTTAAATTCAATTTTTTTGTTACATAATTTTTCTCTCACGTACACAACCAAAACAAACGGGTTCATAAATTCCTTGACGAAAATGTCATCCTCTAGCCTTTTTCGTTGCATTTGCGGAGTTCCTTTAGTCTAGGGCTTGCAATCCGGGTAGCGACACGACGATACGACTCGAAACTCGCACGAAATTAGCGGGTTTGAGTTTGTTATAAATGTGTTTGGGTCATAATTGGATTGACACGATTAATAAATGGGTTGGGTTAGGGTTGACCTCCTAACACGAATTGACACTCACACGATTAACTATATGTGTCATCTGCAATATAATATATATGATATAATATGCAAGTTATATGACGTATTAAATACAAATAATGTGAATTTTAATATTTATAGGTCAAATTGATTTATTTAAAAAAAATACAAATTAATCAATAAATATGTTAAACATATTATGACTGTATTAAATAAGTCATTATTATATTAGTTATTTATTTAATATATTAATTTAAATGAATTATATAATACGATCAATAAATGAGTTATCTTTAAATTGATATTTTTGATACTTTTAATATTTAAATCGATACAATTAATAAACAAATCGATATAAACACGAAACCTTACTTTAGTCCTTCTTTGCGTGTACCGCACTGTATGCGTGACTAATAGTAAGCGCCACGTGTCCTAAAATAAACAGTAACCGTACTCAAAGCACAAACCTAATCGCAGAGAAACAAAAAGAAAAAAAACATAATTATTTATTACTTCGTGGAGAAAGCATTTGAAAATTTCTTTCGTCCTTCGTTTCCTTCCCTTTCCTTTCCTTCCTTTTGCTTGGCGGTGTTAATTTCCTTCGATTTCCAGATTTCGGTTCTTTGACCAGGTGAACTCACCGGACGGTCCACAAGCTCTTCAAGCATGTTCAGATTCTGGTACTTGTTTTCTTCTCTTACTTTTACCTTAGGGTTTGATTCGATCGTCGGAAAATTGCTTTCATTTCGATGTTCTGATTGAATTTATCGAATTTTGTTGCGAAAGAAGCACGTTAGGGATTTGATTCATTTCGTTCATTGATATCAACAGAGCTGATAAAATTGGAGAAATTTTGAATTATTTCGGTAATTTTTTTGTAAAGTTTGAGTATGAGTTCTTACAACCGGTGTCTGATATTCTTCTATTGCTCGGTGATTACGGTTTTCAAGAGACGGATTGGTATTTTTGGTACTGAATTTTTTATGATAGAAAATTTTTTGAATTTCTTTCTGTTAATGGGATATCTTGTTTTGCTTCATATCAATTCTCTTATCATAGACCAGTTTTATCATTCTTTTGAGCCTCGAAAGATTTGATAAATTGAAATGGTTCTTTCGTTTCTTAATAACAGAGTAAATTTTTTACGAATTCCGTTTCTTTGTTAGATTTTCTTTTTCCCGAATGGTTCTGTTGCTACATTAGATGCTTGAGAGTTGCAAATTGCAAGCTTTAGGTTTCTGAATCTTGTTTCTGTTTTTGGTTTGGGGCTTTTTTTTTATTAATTTTATTTTTTGTGTATTGAGGCTAGCTCAATTGGTGTTTAGTGGGTGTGTAAGTTGTTTCATATTGAGTTTTGGTTCAAGTCTCGGGAGATCCCTAAAAAGAATGTTTACTTGCAGGGGTTCACAGGATCAACAAGCTCAGCCTCAACAAGATAGTGCTTCACAGTCGTGGTATCCTTCCTCCGTTGTTAGCTCCCCGAGCTCATCTCGCCCTGAAACACCTAGAACCACCTCATCTTCTGGCAGCTTCAGTTCGCAAAGGCCTTTTGAAAGGCCGCAGTCTCCGGCACATGTTTCGCCTACTGAAGCAGCCGGTATTATTGCTGTTCTAAAGGATAAAAGGTAAGTTACTTTTCATGAAAATGATCATGCTTTTAAATTGTACTTGTATTATTTAGTCTCTTGAATTGGAAATCAAAACTACCGATGAATCTGGATGCTTGAAAGGTTTTATTTTGTTGTCTGGAAGTGCCCAATGTTAATTGATATATGTAAGTGCCCAATGTTAATTGATATATGTCATTCTCTTGGTTTTCTTTGTCTAGTGTTGATGAGTTGCGAAAGCTCTTGTCCGACAAGGATGCTTACCATCAGTTTTTGTTGTCCCTTGATCAGGTCAAAATTCAAAACAATGTAAGTTTTCTTTGCTGTTTCACTTCTTAGAAACTTTAAAAGTAGACTTTACTAGTTTCTGTTCAACAATCCATGATTCATTACCTATAACCTTAAATAGTTATGCAAGTATTGTTTCTGCCAATTCCAAGTTCCGACATAGTAAAAGTCAGCTTTGATTATTTGTTTCATTAATTTCTTTGTGAAACCATATTACTAGTAGCCAGAAAGTTGGTGCCTGAGTATGATACGGTGGCCCATTTTCTTTTCTTTTGCTTTTATGTCATTTGGATTTACACATGTTTTGACTCTCTCTTTGTTTTTCTTATTGACCGTCGTCAGTTAAGAGATGAACTCCGAAAGGAAACTCTGCAGCTAGCAAGTGAGTTTTTGGTTTCACCTGTTGTGAAAATGTTTTTTTTTTATCCGACTACAGTCAATTTTATGCACAGAAAACAGATGACAATAATTTTCAAAATTGAACAGGAGAAAACTTGGAAAAGGAACCGCGCATTATGGAGCTCAGAAACCAGGTAAATCTTCATTCCTATCCCGCCTTCTTTTATGGAGCTTGAGAACCAGGTGGTTTGTACTACTGATTGTGGAAATCTTTTCTCCCATTTTTGTGGTCACAGTGCAGAATTATCAGAACAACTGAATTGGCCGCCGCTCAGGAGAAATTGAATGAGCTTGAGAGGCAAAAGGAAGAAACTTTAAAGCTCTGTTCCCCCGCTTCCCTTTTCCAAAGGCTTCACGGTACGCGGCATGATAGTTAAAAGCTCTATAATGTGTGATTAGGCTTAAGATTCAAGATTCGAGAACAAAAAGAATTAGTAACATTGATCTTTACGGTGTTTTGTAGTTGTAAAGTAGACTATATGTTTGACTATTTCAAGGTTGCTGAGCTGCGACATGGAAGTTTTTGCTCCTTTCTTCTATAATAATTATTTTCTTAAGAAAATAATCTTATCTTACGGAGTTGGTGTTGGTGTTGGTGTTTGCTACTCTTGCTATTAGTTATGAACTTATAATTCAATCATGATTGATTTGGTAAGATTTCTAAAACATTGTTTTCCTGTTGCAGGTGCGATGAACGAGGCCGACGAAGAATCTGAAAAACTGCACGAGCAGCTGCTTGAAAGGGAAATCGACCTTGGAACTTTTGTGCAGAAACACAGAAAGCTACGTACCACTTACCACAAGAGAGCTCTCATTCATATTGCAGCTAGAACGAATATGGTTACTTAAAACTGATTGTAATTGAAAAGCTCGTGCTTTTGAATATCTTGGGGTTTGCTTCTTGTTTCGAAACATTGAACGGAAATGAATATGTTATATTTCTTGTGGTCTGTTTCTGTCAAATTAATACGGTATAGAAATTTTGTGTTATAATCACAGTTTTGACAAATAATATAACGGCTTTCGGAAAGAACATAACTAATAACGTTATGCAAGTAAATTATGCTAATCAGGTGGAACTTGTTAAGTATTTATGTGGATTACCATAATCATTAAATTCATATATTAATTTTTAAGTAAATTAATGGATCTTAGAAAGAGTTATTATTTTCCTTAATTTTATTACGCTGCTTCTACATCACCAATATCAATATCAAAATTATCTCCAGACTCTTATCTATATGAGATATGAGAGAGAAATATTTAAACAGACAAGCTCTGAAGGTACTGAAACTTCATAAAAGACAGAGAGGCATAGAGAAAATAATAATAAGTGCAATCTTTGCCCCAAAACTTGGTTTCGGGTGGTAAATGTCTTAAAAAAAAAAAAAAAAAAAAAAAAAAAAAAAAAAAAAAAAAAACAACAACAACAACAACAACAACAACAACAAAAGGACTGAGTCACGTTTCCCAAAATCAAAGAAAATATTTTTTCTTCTGAGAAAAAAATACAAGAAAATATGTAACATATATACAATGTCATGTAATTCTCTCCGAAGCCATCTTCAGTGAACACAAGATCGGAGAGGAGGAAGAGAGAGTTGGAGACCGTCAGCAAACCAAGGACTTTTTTTTTTTATTTGGTAGAAAAAAAAAAATCCTCGGTTTGCTGAGGATATCCACTCTCTCTCCAGCATCTCATACAAAAGAATAAAAATAAAAAAATAAGAATAAAAACTTTCTGATTTTTTTTTGGAATTTAGAAACATAAAATCCTATTTATATAGACCGATCATCAAAGACTAAAAGCATTAGGATTCGGAGCCTTTAAAAAAAATCCTCATTAGGATTCGTAGTTCAAATTAAACTCTAATTAAGGAAAAAGGTGCTAATCGAATCAATCATCAAATATCCAATAATATACGAGTGTTATGCTATTCAAATTTCAAACCTAACTCTAGCTAAATAAATTAGAGTCCTAATGGAACAGAACAACTACTAAAAGTAAATTATACTAAAATAACAATTAATTTGTTGTAATCTTTGAACAAAATAAACAAAAACCTAAAGCGATAAATATAGGAGACCAGGGACCTATGTCAATTATCAATATTTTTTTTTCTTTTTTAGGATTATGAACAAAGATTTACGATTGAAAAATAAATATTAAGGATATATCCTAAAAAAATCCCACATCGTTCCAAGTAAACATGTTTCCGGGTGGTAAGTGTAGTGTAATTTGCCCCAAAAGCTGAAATCCCTAAATTTTCAAGAAGCAAAAGTTAATCACTGTAAGCACTTTTAAACAAAAGAATTTCTCAAATACTAAAGAAATAAATATGCAGAACAATCCGGGTCAGTTCTAAAAAATATTTAAAAAAGAAAAAAAATACAAGAAAATAATTAGGAGTAATGATACAGAAAACGAGAAGAACTAAAAAATAAACATGAAAATCCACTGAAGAAGCGAGAATAGAAAGAAAATGGCATAAACATGACAGAGGACAATATGTTAAGAAAACGACATTAACCTTAAATTGGACATTAACAAGAAGAAATCATTAACTTGAAAAGCGACATTAAACATAAAAGAAAATATTAAGTGAAACAACTACAAAAACAAAACAAAAACAAAAACAAAACAAAAAAAGATGAAAATAATTTGGTCAGCACACATTGACAACAAAAAGATGCCTCTATAATATGTGTTGGCACTTACATTAAGGAAAATACTCAACAATTTTTTTCAGTTGTTTTTACTTTATTGTTTCTACATGAAATGTATTAACCGTGTTCTTTCTTTTCTTTTCTTTTTATTTTTATTTTTTTGGCTAAAATTTGTTACAGAAGTTAATTAATTTAATTGAAAAGAGGTCTGGTTCTCTACTGAAAGTTCATTCAATCAAAAAACATCTGGCAATTCAACCGTTGGCTGCCTTTAAATCTTTCTCACAGGCCACCAAACGCCAAAGAGATCGTAAGGAAGAGAGAGTAGGATAAATGGCCAGGAGAAACAATACCACATATAAGAGGATGACAGTAAATTGAAGAAACGACGGCAAATTTAAGAACAACGACAAAAAAAAGGGCAACATCATCATAAAACGACATCGAACTCTAAAGACGACATCAGGATGGAAAAAATTAAGACTGGCAATTCGTGTTTGTGTGTCGTGCTCGGGCCGGCACGATTACGACACGATACGATTATAGTGAACACGAACACGACACGATTAATAAACGTGTCAGAAATGCAAACACAAACACGAAACGCTAATAACACGGTTAACACGACACAACACACAAACACGATTACTAAACGTGCCGTGACGGGCCAACACGAAAAAAACACATTTATGACCCGTTTATGACCCAACTAGCAAAAATAGTGGAATTTTATATTGTATTCAAAACTATATTAATTGACTACTTAATATAAAATCATGCATAATAACCAACACACATTAAAATATTCAAATATCAAACACACATATATATATGATACTACTAGATTATCAAGTATATATGTTTCAAAACATAACAATTACTAATCATCCAAAGAAGTTTGAAAACATAGCCAAGTACATTTAAATAAGTTTGAAAACATAACCAAACATTTGAATGCTTAAGTGCATAAAACATAAAATAAATATAGGAAAATGTCTTCTTTGAGCCTTAAGGTTGAATGTCCAACTACGCTCTAAAAACTAAAATTAATTTCAAGAGACTGAGTCAGAAGTGAGGTTTTGTCTAATATATATATATATATAGAGAGAGAGAGAGAGGACAAATAGTTTATCATTAGAGATAGGGTTTCTTAAGTTAGATTTATCTTTAATTATGATATTTTATTTTAAGAAGATAAGGTTTCTTTCTTAGCTTATTTATTCTTATTTTTTACTAGTCTGAAAATAATAGAAGAGAGTTTCTTTCTAGAAAATTTACACACACACATATATATGGGCTTAATAAACGGGTCGGGTTGGGCCAGGCTGTATCGGCCCGATAATGGCCCGTATAACTAAACGGGTTAAGCGTGTTAAACAGGTTAGCACGAATGTAGCCCATTTATTTTCGTATTATTCGTGCCAGCCCGTTAACGACCTAATTAATAATCGTGCGGTCCAAACCCATTTATCTCGTGTCATTTTTGTATCATTTTATCGTGTCGTGTCTAAAATTGCCGGCCCTAGAAAAAATGGATTGAATTCTAGTGCTCATTCTTTCACGCATATTAAAAGTTATGTTCTTTCACTATCGTAAGTTGCATCTGTTGATGTAAGTATGGTGCTTCTGGACTCCTACGTGATCATCAGCTCGATGAATAATTAGCTCTGATGTTTTTATATACAGAACGCATTAAAATTTGAAATCATGTTTTTGTTCACTGGCATAACAATTACAATGTGAATAAGTTATATGATCCAAAAAACATATCATTTTTAAAATTTTTTTTTCTCATAAGTAATTTTTTTCTTTATGTCCTTTATATATGTGTATATCATCGAAAACTATATTCATAGTAATATCACAGTATGTCGAAATTAAATCAAGAAATTTCTATGCTTGATCTACAGTTTGAACGGCTCCAAACTGTACCACCAGTAAATAATGGAAAGAAGACCATTCTATTTGTTGATGTTATAAACTTTGATGCTCAAAAATGATCATTAGGAGGCTTAAAATACAAAGGCTATTTGTAGCCGTTTTTATTATTGGATTGGTCCGGGCATATCTTAGGTGTTTCTCTTGTTCGTTCTCTATGAATTAGACCTGATTTGTTAATTGACCAGATACAATGTCTGAAATCATGTCTGGGCTGATTTCTTTACAACTTATTTGGCATCAACAATGATTGTTGCCCAAAAAAACAAAATCCAACAAAACTGTTGATGAAAAGCATGGATTGATTTGTGTACCACTACTACATAGATACTGGATTGTAAGAAGCAGAGGACTCAACTATTTTACAAGTTGTGATTTATTGTCGTTTGCCTTCTTTCTTAGATTACTTGTTTTATTTACCACTTCTTCAGCATAGACTTCTTGTGGTTTTTTTTTTTTTTTAAAAAAAAGAAGAAGAAAACTTTGAGTTTGAACCCCTTTTACTCTTCTTGTCATGGAAGGACGAACAAATTGGAAGACTTCTTTTTCTTATTAAAAGAAGAATGACAACAAAAAGAAAATGACATAGTTATAATGACAAACATCAACAAACGACACCATTCAGGAAATACATGGAAACGGAAAGTAATGGTGCAGAAAACAAAAAGAACTAAAATAACAACATGAAAATCCACCAAGAAACGAGAATAAAAGAAAACAATAAGTTCAGAAAAATACTTTAACCTAAAATTGGACATTAACAAGATTTTAAAAAAAATATATATATATATATATATATTAACTCCAAAAACGACAATAAACATTAAAGACGATATTAAGTGAAACAATACCTACACAAACAACAAAAAGATCGCGAAACTAATTTGGCAGGAGAAAGAAGTACATGATACAATCCAGATCCACTCAAACAAAACCTCTCTCATTCTGTGTTTCTTTCTGTAGAAAACAGCTGCCAACTAACTTTTTTCAGAAGGAACAGAGGAAACCTTTCAAAATATCAGCATGATGATAATCTTCTAATCTTATGACGATGAAGATCATCATGAGTTGGAATTTCTGCCTCCAAGGATTGTATAAACTGATCAAAATCGTCATCAGATGGCGTCAAGTATTGTTGATTATATGGATCAGCAGCATTCATAGGAGCATCAGCAATATCAGAGTTGCACTACTGGTAAGTCGGTGCTTGTTCCTCCGGAGGTCGATAATTGCATATGTTCGCCCGGATGTCAAGTTTTGATAGTTTAAGATAAGTGAGTACCGTCTCTATAAGAATTACGTGTTAAATTAACGTCAATTATCGTAACTTAATTTTATCTAGGCAACTGAATCTTAAT